GAACCTTTCCTGGGCTTTGAAGTAACCAGGGAGAAAAATGTATAGACTTCTATTTTATAATGGTTCCTTTAAGGAACAGGTCCCCTAAAAAGGTTTTAAAGTATGGTACTCCAAAGTGCAGTTTCTTTTGGCCTTACCTCTATGAAACCCTAAGGGTCCAAAGGACCAAATACTTAACTAGATACTTGGGTTTAGGGTTTAGGGTTTAGGGTTTAGGGTTTAGGATTTTCTATACCGTAGGGTTAGCACTCATAAAACGAAATTATGCGGTACGCGCTCGGACGCTCGGACCGTTCAGGAAATGTGACCCCTGCGCTTCGGCTCGGAGTGGTGCCTTGGTCGCCTCCTCCTCTGCCTCTTGGTATTGGCACAGGGCCTCAGCTGGAATGTGCCGGGTTTAGGGTTTAGGGCACCTTGTATTGGTATTGATGTTTGGCACTTTGTGTTTCGGACGAGGTCGGTTCCCGGGGGGGGGGAGTTATGGGCTGGAGGGTCTTCAACTTGGATAAGGTTTCATGTAGTGTTCCGCCGTCGATACCCTCATTGTCTACACACTAAACTCCGGACCCTAAATCCTAAAACCCAAATCCTACACCCTAAACCCTACACATTGTACCCACACGTTGCAGCCCAGAAACCTGACCCTGGCACCGCATGCTCTCCGAGACCAAACAGTTAGACTGTACTGTACCAGACCCCACTGCGTGTTTTTTAGGGCTAAGGTCCTTTGGACCCTTAGAGTGACGAGTCCAGAAAGGGAGCGAATAGAAACCTGTAATGTAAGGGCCTTAATAAATAGAATAGGGTTTTTAGGGCTCCGTGTTATAAGTATAGTATAATCTACCCCCCAAACCCTATTCTAATTATCAAGGCCCCCTATATTATGTAACCCTAAACCCTAAACCCTAAACCCCTGAACCAGACACCCAACTCGAAACTCTGCAGGTCTCCCATCGAAACTCCCAGCCCCACCCCCAAAGCAACAAAACACACCATGCTCTAAACTGCCACCTAAATCCTAAACCCAAAGCCCTAAACCCAAAATTTCGAAAATATTGATATTATCAAATTTCCTAGAACTATCAAAACTTGGCTGACTTCTGAACCCCTCCAAAAAGTTGAACTTTTAGTCTCCTTATCATGGTTCATATAGAAACCCCAAAAATTCGAGTCCTAAGAGCCAACCAGAAGAACACCAAGTCTAGTGATTCAGCCACCGTTCGAACTGACAAGCGCTGATGGTCACAGGCAGACAGCACATACAGTACAAATCCAGTACGCTCAACCCTAATCCCCTACAAGTTCTTTTCTTAGGGTACCTAGGTTTATGTTATACGGAAAAGCAGGTATCTTAAACAATCGGAAGGGCATGACAGGGCTGAGGGAGTTCGATTTAAAGTTCTTCGCTTCACACCTTGCTTGGCCAGTGCAGAAGCGGCGCATAGTGACAACAGGCCTTATAGACTGCGATGTTCGGATCGTTCTCCTGCAGAAACATGGTTTAGGGTTTAGGGTAAGCACACTTCGCGGTCGAGTTTGATTTGGTCAGCGGTTTCGCGTTTAGAGCCCAGGGCAATCTCTGAGAACATCCAGCAAGCTACTTCTGACACCTTGGGCGCCGAGCATATACCGTTTCTATGATATTTTCATATGCGTATGTATACATACTTACAATATATCACATTATGCACATGCATGCAGCCTGTTGTTATGGTCAGTCATAGAGATACACCATACAAACACCTCGCTTGGTATTGTGTAGGTAATTGGGGACCCTAAACCCTAAACCTAAAGCCCTTTCACAAAGGCTCCTTTCTCATGGCATCGTCGTAGGTGTCGATGGCTTTCTTGTAGTCGCCATTGTGGAAGTAGCCTTGCCGGTGCTTGCCAGCTCAAGGTTAAAACCTCAAACCCAACATTGTAACGGCAAAGCAGCTGAAGTTTAGGGTTTAGGGTTTAGGGAAACTCTGTGTAACCTCTTAACTGCAAACCCGTAGTCGATCATCCAGGTGTAAAACCAAATCCAACCTCAGCCCGTACATTTCCAGGAACCTACTGAGAGGAACAGGAGTCTTGGAAGCACTATATAGGTAGAGTTACAAGGAGGGCGTAGATCTGAAACTTTATAGCAACCTTGCAACTCTGACCATCAACACCTCCTGCTAGAACTTATTTGCTGGGCCCGCGGATCCTGCCAGTCGTTTTCTTGAAACCCAAAAGCTTTAGGGTATAGGCTATAGGGTCAAGGATTCCTAAACGATCGAGAAGCTATGATTTCAGAGGCTTAAACCCTGAAACTACTAGATTCTGAGCGACTTTTTGTAGGGCATGGGGCTGCAAATGACCCGAAACACCTAGAAGAATCCCATTCGCTGCGGGGCTTCGGACACGGTTTAGGGTTTAGGGTTTAGGGTTTAGGGTTTAGGGGTTTGGGAAAACTGCTTTGGAGTGTAATGGGGGAAATAAGTAAGGGAACGGTTTTTGCAGGTTGCTATTTGTCGAGCATGTTGCATCCCATACGTTGCAGATAGCCGCATCCCTCCATGCAAAGGCTGCAAGCCCCGACGCCGGATCAACTGGTAAACCAACAAACCCCAGGACCCTGCACCCTGAACCATGTAGCCTCATCCCTGGTAAGAAAGGCGAGCAAGCCAAAACTGCTTCTCAGGATTTGAGAGTTCAGGCTTCCGAAACCCGCGAAACTAAGATGTCTTCCGTCCTAAACCCTAAACCCTAAACCCTAAACCCTAAACCGGATTCCGACTGAGGAGCTATATGCCAACCACATGAGCAAGTGGGGCCGATCTTCCCGCGTCTTCTTCTCGAACTCCAGTAGCGTGACAGCGCCGACGTAGTCGCAGACCTCCGAGATGACGCTGGGTCAGCTTCAAAGAAACAGCAAGAGTTTAGGGCTTATAATCTAGGGCTAGGGTTTAGGGTTTAGGGGTTTCGGGGTTTAGGGGTTTAGGGGTTTGGGGTTTAGGGTTTAGGGTTTAGGGCTTAGGGTTTAGGGCTTTAGGGGTGTTTACACTTCCATTTCGCCTAGTCCTGCAACCAAGCTCCGCCGTTCGGGAGTAGCACAGGGGTCTTAACAATTAGAATAGGTTTATTTTTATTTTATTTATTTTTTTTTTTTTGG